GTGAAAGAGATAGAGATGGAGTGAAAGAGAGTGATAGAGTGAAATAGAGAGAGAGTGAAAGAGAGATAGAGACAGAGTGAAAGAGAGAGAGAGAAGGAGTGATAGAGATGGAGACAGTGAAAGAGATAGAGAGTGCAAGGAGGAGAGAGAGAGTGAAAGAGATAGAGACGGAGTGAAAGAGGGAGAGAGGGAGGGAGGGAGAGAGAGTCAAACAAATAGAGATGTGAGGTAAGAGAGGATAAAGAGAGGATGGGCGAGGGAGAGAGGGAGTGGAAGGGAGTGGAGATGTGAAGTAAGAGAGGAGAGCAAGAGGGAGTGAAAAAGGGAAGGTAGAGAGGGAATGAAAGAGTGAAAGTGAAAGACGGGGACAGTGAGGAATGAAAGAGGGTTAGAGAGAGAGAGAGGGAGTGAATGAGGAGGTGAAAGAGTGAAGAACCATCAGACCTGAAGTTTATAACAAAGATTTGATTCATTTTATCTGGAAGAAAAGTGTTGGTTTTTTTACAGGCCAATCACACTGAACAGAGAGGGAGAAAACTCAAATGAATCTTGTTCAAATACAGATTTATTACAGATCTTTGGTTTAGTCACAAATAGAAATGATCAGGTTCAACATTTGTGAATTTACCTCTTGGATACGTCTTGAAAATGAAAATACAGTGTGATCAACAGAGAAAACCGGCTCTTCTGGCTGAAATCATCTCATTGTAGAATTTGCAAACCTCAAATGACCTCACAGCGAGAAGGTTCCAGGTTTAACTCCCAGGTGGCTTTTCACTGTGGAGTTTGCATGTTCTCTCTGTGTCTGGTTGTGTTTCCCTCGTCAACCCAAAACATGCACAACAAATCCTCAGAATCCTCCAACTAAAGCTGGGTGTACACTGTGCCATTTTTGACCCTTTTTGAGCAGATTTTTCACTCATGCGACTATTTTGGGGATCGGAGTTTTGACTTAATCGTGTGTCGTGCTTCGTGTAGTAAACATGGGGTAAAGAAAAACGTTTAATACCTCATGACCAGCTCTGATCGACATTCGCAGGTCGCAAGAAAATCAAACTTCTTCTCGTGAGGGTTTCGCTCTGTTGAAGTCGTTCCGTGAGCTGATTTGCCAGAATCTGTCAGACTGAGCATGTGCGGACACAGAAGAGGAAGCAGAAGCAGGATATGAGGTTGTGGAGGACGATGGCGCCGGCGACTGTTTTGGACACAGGACATGGAGGAGCAGCTAATCCAGCAACACAGAACAGAAGTTTGGTGAAAAACGTGATGCTACTTACCTCCAGTTCCCTCTGAAGAACTGACCTGTACCCGTACTGCCCACGTCTGCCCACGTCTGCCCACGTCTGCCCACGTCTGCCCACGTCTGCCCACGTCTGCCCACATCTGCCCAGCTCTTCTTTTTGAGCTTGTCTGCGCAGAGAATGGCACAAATTGCCAAAGCAGCACGTCTGTTTTTTTGCCTGGATCCGTACAGGCGAGTTTCATCTGACGTCGTTGTTATTAAAAGCCCGCGTTGCATGCTGGGAAATATTTTGGTCGGAGGCAAGAAACACAATAGCGTCAAACACAGTGCGTAACCTCGTGTATTTCTCCCTGATAATGGTAAATTCCTGCTGCATTATCAGATGCACAAATAGAAGCACGGAAGAAGGAAAATGTCTTTTTCGTATTCTGAGTGAAAAGAACCACTAACGGTGAATTAAACGACTTTCAAACATTCACAGAGCAAACGTAGAAGATCCTAACAAACCGTGGACTCCAACAAGTTCAACAACACATCAAGACTCTTGGAGGTTTTCATCTTTTCTGCTGTGAATGGCCCAGGAGTTTCCACCAAGTCATTGTGGATATCACCAAAGTGAATATTTGTCCAGGTAGTTGGTGATTCCGACCAGAAATTTGGTTTGGTCCACCTTTTGTCGGGGTTGAAAAGGGTGATTTGGCTCCATCGATGCTTATGACCAATTTCTGGTCAAATGGTCTTGGGTCCTCTGCAGTTAGAGTGGATAAATATCCGGGATCAATACCCTTTACGTGTTTTCTCACTCCGTCCGTCATGTTGAATTAGTGTTTCTTGCCTCCGACCAAAATAATTCCCAGCATGCAACGCGCGCTTTTGTCAACAATGAAACTCACCTATTGTGTCTGTGGTTTTCTAAATCTGTGGTTCTAACTCAGGTCGGTATGTGATCGTACAGTGTGCGCAGGCAGGTCATGTTCGAGCATCGGTTCGTACAGTGTGAGAACATGATTCATGAGCTGTGAACTTTAAAACCCTGTGATTTGGTTGTACAGTTTAAACTGGGGCTGAGTGACACGATCAAAAATATCACACAGTGTTCACCCGGCGTAAAGTCCTGACCAAGACTAGGTCAAGATCTGGAGATGGTCCCACTGGTCCAGACAGGTTTAACCCAGAGACACAGAAGGACAGGTTGAATTATTCTTGGAACAAACAGGATAAATAAATGTTTGCTCTCTTTGTGTCGTCTCTTTAGTCTTTTGAGTCGGACGGCTGGTCCTCAGACTCGGAGCGCGCTCAGATCCACTCAGCCTGCACCTCCATCATCTCCTCGCTCTCCCGGCAACACAACAGCGCCCTCCTGCTGTCGGTGACGGAAGTGAAGATGGACTACGTCTCGCAGGACCCACCCATCGGTGAGAACTAACTGTCCCCGTGTGTCAGATGCCCTCCCAGTTTACACCTCTAAACATGTTCTGAAATACACGGGAGTCTGGGATCAGTTTAGAGTTTAGAGTCAGTGAGATGGAGCAGAGGAGAAGGTCAGAGGATGAAGAGGAGAGGGTCAGAGGATGAAGAGGAGAGGGTCAGAGGATGAAGAGGAGAGGGTCAGAGGATGAAGAGGAGAGGGTCAGAGGATGAAGAGGAGAAGGTCAGAGGATGAAGAGGAGAGGGTCAGAGGATGAAGAGGAGAGGGTCAGAGGGCCAAAGATGTTCATTTTGTCTTCTTATGTACTTTAACTTCTTGGGTTCTTTTTAAAGACAATACAGTAAAGTGGATTTACCTTGTTGACATGTTTGTTTGTTGACAAGGTAAATACACTTTACTGCATTGTCTTTAAAAAGAACTCAAGAAGTTAGAGAGGGTTAGAGGATAGAGAGGAGAAGGTCAGATGGAGCAGAAGATCAGAGGAGAAGGTCAGATGGAGCAGAGGAGGGGTTCAGATGGGAGAAGTTCAGATGGAGCAGAAGAGAAGGTCAAATGGAGCAGAGGAGAAGTCAGATGGAGCAGGATCAGAGGAGAATGTCAGATGGAGCAGACAGTCAGGTGGAGCAGAGGAGCAGAGGAAAAGGTTAGATGGAGCAGAGGAGAAGGTCAGATGGAGCAGAGGGGAGAGTCAGAGGAGAAGGTCAGATAGAGCAGAGGAGAAGGTCAGATAGAGCAGAGGAGAAGGTCAGATGGACTCAGAGGAGCAGAGGAGAAGGTCAGATAGAGCAGAGGGTCAGATGGAGCAGAGGAGAAGGTCAGATGGAGCACAGGGTCTGATGGAGCAGAGGAGAAGGTCAGATGGAACAGAGAAACAGAGAAGCTCAGATGGAACAGAGGAAGGTCTGATGGAGCAGAGGAGGGGTTCAGGTGGGAGAAGTTCAGATGGAGCAGAGGAGAAGGTCAGAGTAGCAGAGAAGGTCAGATGGAGCAGAGAAACAGAGGAGGGGGTCAGATGGAGCAGAGGAGAAGGTCAGATGTTGTAGATGTCTCTAACCTTTCTCTCTCTCCTCAGACTTCTTGATGCCCTTGCTGATCGCCGTCTTCTGCCTCCTGTGGCTCTTCTGCATCGTGGTCTGCGTCTGGTGGACGCGGAAACGAAAGAAAGAGCGCGAGAGAGCGACCGTCCGCCCCGACGAGCTCACCGTCAACAACCAGCTCAGAAGCCCCTCCCCCAAAGACAACCGCGACAAGGACAACCAGTACGAGTGCAGGAAGCTGATGGCCACGCCCCCCGAGAGGACGTGCGACGGGGCCGAGGCGGAGGAGGAGGGGCTTACGGAAGCGGGCGGAGCGGGGGACGGGGCGGAGGAGGGGGAGATGGCGAGGGGCAGCCATCTCGGGGTGGTGTGCACGGGTCAAAGTGTACCCATCCGCTCGCCGCATCGGACAAAATATAGTCCCAAAGACAATCGCTGTAAAAACCTGAACGCGGCCAGGCTCAGCGAGGACATCAAGGACCACTATGTATAAAAAAAGAACTCTTCCAAATGACTTTACGGAACTCAAACGGAAGATTACGCAAAACTTTGGAATTTAACGTCAAAATTCCTGCAGTCGATCTGTTTTTGGATTTCAAATATCCACTGACATTTTCGTTGAACTGAAAAACTGGAAAATGACGCAGAACTTTGGAGTTTTGCTTAAAAATTCCTGCAATTGTCACATTTCTGGATTTCAGTTTTCAAACCACAACTTTTTTTAACTCAAATGGAAGATTATGCAGAATTTTGGATCCAAATTTAAGTTAAACATTTCCTGGACTCACCGCCTTCCTGGATTTGAATCTTCAAAAATGATGAAGATTATGTAAAACTTTGGAATCTCCTGCAGTCGTCGCGTCTCTGGATTTCAAACATCCAATGACATTTTTGTTGAACAGAAATGGAAAATTATGCAAAATGTTGGAATTTAAGTTAAAAATTCCAGGAGTCGTTACGTTTCTGGATTTCAGTTTTCAAACCGCAACTTCTTTGAGCTGAAATTGAAGTTTATGCAAAACTTTGGATCAAAATTTAAGTAAAAAAGAATTCCTGGACTCATCGCCTTCCTTGGTTTTCACATTTCCAGTGACGCTTTCACTGAAGTAAAATGGAAAATGATGCAAAACTTTGGATTGAAATTTTAGTTTTTATTTCCTGGAGAATTCACTTTCTGGATTTACAGCTGTGGATCATTTTGGATAAATCACATTTTTAAATTGTTTTTCAAATCAAAATGGCGCTTGGTTGATCTGCTGTTTACAAACTGTTTTGCTGGTTTCGGAGTTTCGCTGGCAGCTGTTTTTTTCTGGGTCTTTTCTACTCCACAAATCTTTATTTAAATGAAAAGATAAAAGTTTATTTGCAGATTTTATAAACAGAATCTATTGTAAAAAAAAAAAAAATGTTTACATTCAAAATTTCAAAGTTCTTCTAATGGTCCTGTATTTTGTCTTTGAACTGATTTTGGACATTAGCTCTGGTGTTTCAACTCTGACAGTTTAATGAAAGGAAAGAAAAGAACACTAATCCAGACCTGACTTTTGCTCTCACTGCATTTCTGAAGGAACTTCCTAGATTCCACCTGATGATGTCATGAAGTGAAGGAGAGCATTTTGATCTAGCAGAATTGATTACCATTATGAGGTTTGGAGAAGCAGACACGGGCACAGTTTAGTTTAGTTTCATGTTTGTTTTTTTGATTTTGTCGGTGGACCAGAGGAAAAGTAAAGTTGATATACAGTTCTGATGCTCAGACTTGGATGAGTGAGGTTCAACTGTGTTTGGTGGATTCTCCTTGAACAAATTCTGATTGCAAAATACTTGAATATATTTTAATTTAAAACAAAAAGTTAAATTTTCACTTGGTGGTTTGAAGAAGCGACCCTCCACCTGCTCAGAATAATTACATTAAAGGGTCCTAGTACGAAATAAACTTATTTTAACAGATTACAGATAAATCATAATTGAAACCTTTTGGCTAAAGCTGCATTATGTAACTTTTCTGATTAAGGGTTCGTCTCCATGGAGATTAGGGCTGGGTATCATTAAGAAGTTGCCGATACGATACATATCTCGATACAGTGAGCTTTCGATTTGATATGATTTGATACGATATATTTGAAATAAATTCGATACGGCTCAATAAAAATAAAGTCTAAATCATGGCTGTGACACTAAAAGTCTTTGTTAAATCACGTCTTGTGCAAAGTTCATATGAAACACAAACCAGTTCAGGTCAGTTCCAACCAGAACTGAAGAAGCAGTTTGGATGAGCTGCAAAACGTCTTCAACCAAACTAACTTTTGTCCAGTCGACAAACTGAATTTTCTCCTCGACAAAATGTCAAATGTATCACATAAATGAATTTCCTTCCTCTAAACAACAACAACAAACATAGATAATAACAAGATCATTTGGTAAAATATACAAAAAAATACTCTTGGTGATATATTGATACAACAGCCCCCTATATCGATACTGTATCATCACATTAAACAAGACGATATATTGATATTTTTGCACAGCCCTAATGGAAATGTTATTGCTTTACTCTGAATGCTCCACAAACTGACATTAAACTTGTCATTTATTGAATTACTGATGTTTTGTTGCTTATAAAAAAAACCTGAAAAACGTTTGTACTGTGAGAGGGGTGGCCTTTCCACAGACCTGACCTGGAACTTGGTGGCATCACCTTTTCGCCTCCAAGAAGAGAACTTGTTGGCCAGACGTTCTTTAGTGAAACACTTCACCCACACTGCTCCGTCTGAATGAGTGTGTGTGTGTGTGTGTGTGTGTTGGTTGGTGGTGTTGATCAGAGGGTCAGTGGCACAGTTTGACAGCCTCTCTTCTGTCAATCTGTCCCGGGGCAGCTGTGGTTAAACTTACTTGTGAAGTGAAAGAAGAACGTATGAAACTGTAACTAATGGATTATTATTTAAATTAAAGCTAAACTGTGGAACATTTCAAGCAAAAGCAATAACATCGACTAACCCTCAACCAGAAACGTCACACTGGAAAAAACAATATCTAGATCAATTAAAATGACTTAAATTAAGACCATTTGACTTTTTTTGAGTCGATTCAACTTGACAAGTACAATTTTCTACCAATGGAATAAGTGTTTTTTTTTTTTTTTTTTTTCATAATTAGAGCAACATTCGATTTCGTTTCTTATTTTAAGTGCAAAAAGTTCAAAAACTCTTATTGTAAGTGGAGCAAGATGTATTTTCATATTTTAAGTACAAAAAGTCTTATTCCACTGGCAAATCATTTTACTTGTCAAGTGGAATTTACTCAAATCATGATCAAAACTTTCTTAATTCAAGTGATTTTAACTTGACTAGATTTTGTTTTTTGCAGTGTACATGGTGAAACTTTAATCTTAAACTTATTTCAGTTGAAAATATTTATGAAGCAGTGGTCTAGTTATTCTTTATATTTGATTTGATTGCCCACTCACAGTATTTTCTATTTTTCGTGCTCGTGTCTGCTTCTCCAGCTGCTCGTCTCCTTCACTTCATGGTTTGTGTCACATTAGTGTTTTTCTCGAAGTGCCTTTAAAGCCGTTTGTGTCTCGCTCCTCTTAAAGGGACGTGCCCTGCGCCCTCTGCTTCCTCCCGTCTGTACATACGTGTAAATACAAATGTCTGTTTATTTTGAGCTGATAACTTATGTGACTTTTGTATGAAACGATTTGAGTGTAAGTGTTTGAAAATGTCATTCCCTTTTTCATGTTTTATACCGAGCGTTTCACTGTTTCATGGTTTCAACATTTCCACGGTCCATAAAGTTTCACACGACAATCAACACGAGAGTTTGGCTTCTGTTTTTGATTTTCTGACAAATGTTTAACAAGAAAGAGAGAAAGAGAGAGGGAAGTGTGGTCCATTTCTGTGGACGGATTTAACCATGCGTGTACTGAAGAGAGGGTCAAATGCAGAAGACGTTTGACCCACAGTTTCAGTCCTGGTCCTAGTCCAGCTGACCTCTGTGAGACTTCAAACCCAAAAAATCCATTCTGGAAAACTTTAAATAATCTCTTAAATTGTGGGTCTTGGGTCAGGTTTAGTCCTGATTTAGTCCTGGTTTAGTCCTGGGTTAGTCTTTGGTTAGTCCTGGTTAATCCTGGTTTAGTCCTGGTTTAGTCCTGGTTAGTCCTGGGTTAGTCTTTGGTTAGTCCTGGGTTAGTCCTAGTTTAGTCCTGGTTTAGTTCTGGGTTAGTCTTTGGTTAGTCCTGGTTTAATCCTGGTTTAGTCCTTGGTTAGTCCTGGTTTGGTCCTGGGTTAGTCTTTGGTTAGATCAGTGGATCGCTCGTCCACCAATCTGCAGGTCAAAGGTTCAATTCTTTGACTCTTCATTGTTATTGTGTCCTTGGGCAAGACACTTTACCCCCTGAGAAAGCGTTATGTGTGAGTGTTGTCAGTCTGACCCAGGGCAGCTGTGACTACAACAGTGTGGAATTAAAGAACAAAGATTTGAGTGCAGCCCCAACTTTTAAAGACTCACAAAGCACAAGATTCCAACACAAAGTAAAGACATTTGAACAAGAACAACAGTGTCACATTATCACATTTGTCTTGTTTTCCTCGCTTCAGGGTTTGTTTGACTCTGTTGAGTTTTTACACTTTGATGTGAGACGCTGCAGAAAAGATGAAAACACAACTGCACACACACACACACACACACTCCAAACACACAACACGAGAGAGAGGGACGGAGAGAGGGAGAGGGAGAGAGAAGGAGAGAGGGAGAAGGACCCATCCATGCTCCAACAGGAAAGAGAGAGAAGGATCGACAGAGGGAGAGAGAGGAGACCAGCCACGCTCCAAGACAAGAGAGAGAGAAGGAGGGAGAGAGAGGAGACCAGCCACGCTCCAAGACAAGAGAGAGAGAAGGAGGGAGAGAGAGGAGACCAGCCACGCTCCAAGACAAGAGAGAGAGAAGGAGGGAGAGAGAGGAGACCAGCCACGCTCCAAGACAAGAGAGAGAGAAGGAGGGAGAGAGAGGAGACACAGCCATGCTCCAATTAGAGCAAGAGAGGGAGAGGGGGAAAGAGGAAGGCAGAGAGAAGGAACCCAGCCATAATCCAACAAGAGAGAGAGAGAGAGAAGAAGGGAGAAAAAGAGAGAGGGGGGACACAGCCATGTTCCAACAAGAAAAAGGGACGGTGGGATGGAAAGAGGGAGTGAAAGAAGGAGAGAAGAGAAAGAGAGAGAGCTGGAGAGAGGACCCAGCCACGCTCCAACAAGTGTCAGAGAGACAGAGATAGTGAGGGAGACTCAAGGATTCATGGAATCAGTGCACGAGGAGGAGAGTGCACAAGAGGAGTGTGCACAAGAAAGGCATGTGCACGAGAGAGGAGTGTGAGAGAGGAGTGTGCACGAGAGGGGAGTGTGCACGAGAGAGGAGTGTGCACGAGGGGTGTGTATGTTAGAGGTGTTTGTCTGAAAAGATAATGCGATAACATGACTTGAGTTCTAGACCCAG